CTCGCCAGCCGGTTCCCTGGGGGATACCTGCCACTAGGCAGGGGCATCTCTGGACCCCGAAGGGCCTGCCTATTGCCGTGCCGAATCTCCCCCCAGTTCCCCTGAACTGGACCCCAATCTTCCTTGCAGAGCGGCCTAGTTGTGGCCCGCCTGCAGTACCTGCATCACAATTTGAAGCAGCAGATTGACCCCCACTTCTAGGGCAGGTCCTTCACCCCCTTTTCTTAGGCGGGTGGTAATCGTCTTGTTTCTTGGGGCCCTGCCCTCTTTTGGGCTTAGTCACCTGTCTGCTCCTTTTTCTGCTCCTTCACGGTGGGTGAGTCACAGCACCTTGGCGCGTGCGGCTACATTTGACTGACGTCTGCGGTCTCCCAACTGCCAAAGAGCTTAGGCTGGCCCGGACCTCGCGTGTTCGGCTGCGCGTTGAGCGTCTAGGGCGGCTCCTCCGGGGGCTGGCCACCTGCTGGTCACCCCCTTGGACGGCTCTCGCCGGCTCTCTCCGCGCGCCGGTCGGATGGTCCCGCGGATTTTCCAATCGGGGCGCGGGCTCGATGGCCGCGGATCTCCCCGGCGATTCAGCCCCCGGATCGGGCTGATCGCCTCCGCGGCCGCGGTTGGATGGGCTGGCTCTGGCGCGGCGATTCTGCGGCGAATGGCCACGCCTCTTGGGTCTCCGTCTTGCCGCCGCGTCCTGCTTGGCTCCCGGCTTCGGCTCCGCTCCGAAACCACTTGTTGCGGCCCGCAGGCGGCCGCTGGTTTCCGGAGTTTGGGGGCGGTCGCCGCACCCGATGGCGCGGCCTCGATGCCGCGCCTCTCCGCCGGATTGCGGCGGGCGTTGGCGGGGTGCTCGTTTCTTCGGTAGCGCGGTGGGCCCTTGGGACGCTCGGGGACCTTCCCCGAAGCCTGCCGTGTGCAGGCGGTGGAGTCGCGGCGGCGTACGGTGGTTCGCTGCCTCGCGGCGGGGCAGAGAGGGGGCCCGAATGCGGTTACAGTCTGACACAACGCGGCGCGCATCCAATGTACCTGCGCGATGCCCGGTCGCGGGTCCATCGCGTCACATCAGACAAGACAACACAGTGTAATGTACGGACCGTGTACCAGCGCCCCTCCGTCACCTATAATCAATCTAATCTAGCTCTAATTCCAACAATCCCCACCCAGCACCTGGCCTCAAAGTACTACATCTTCAAGAGGCCGTATCTTCCTCCATACTCCTGAGAACTGAGTGCTGAACGAAGCGTTGGAACCAGGAAATCATAAGTAAACCGTAAATAAAGATGACTCAGCGAGATTACGTAATATAACTGCAGAAAACACCATTAACTGCCTGCCCCCAAGTAGCTCCACAACAGAAACCACCTGGTGTGGTTTTCGGTGTGTTCGCGGGCGATGCTCCCACCGAGGCGCCCGATGGGGCCGCGTGGCCCCCTCCGCCGCATGGCCGGCGGGCTTTGCGGGGCGCTCGTCTTCTTCGGATGCGCAGTGTGGGCCCAGGCCTGCGGATTGGCCGGGCGCAGGGCGGCCCTACGCGCAGTGGGTGCGCGCGGCGCCTTGCGGCCTACGGGTGCAGCCGCTGGAAGGCGAGTGGGCACGAATGGAATTACAGGCTGTCGTGCGGGGCCGGTCACATAACCCCTGCATGCAGCGGTACACAATCGATAGAACAATATCGAATGTACCCATACCGATAGTATCTCATCCCCGAGTACGGTAGGGGCCCCACCTTAAGTACTGCAACTTTGTCTAGCCATAACTTCACTACCACTAACCTGTTTGGGATAATCCAAACACCTGTGGAAAGCGAACAGCCTCCTCTGTCCCATATAGGTACAATCTCATGCCAATTGTTATTTCCCAATGAATAATTGGAGTAAACGGACTACCCCCTTGTAGTTTACACAACACGGCCGAGGCAGCATTTATGTATATTTATTTATTCATGCATATTTATTTATGATGGCGTGGACTGCAAATAGGTAGACATGCGTTGTTTAAACATGTTGAAATATTGGAACTCGTTATATCAGTGCTGTGGTCCGAATCTGAAGGCAAAGGTTGCTGGACACAGAGAAAAAATCCGCTTGGAAAAAATTGGCTCCAACAGAAACTGCCGTTGACCAACATTGGTCCGTTAACGGAACACTACCGGAATCTCAAAGTCCCTAACGGATAGCAACAGAACGCTCAGAAAGACAACAGAAAAAAAGCGCTTTTACAAAAACCGCTGGCTACAAACACCCCCTTGATGGACAGCTCAAGAGCCAGAAAATTGAAAGCTGACATGGTATGAACGGCTACGGAAACCCGGCCCCGGAAAAGTGGCAGAAAATGGACGGACAGATTGTTTGTGTTCCAAAAAATTACAGATGTAAAATAACAGAAAAAGAAGCTGAGTGGCCACGTCTACCTCTGGCTCGCAAAACAAACTCCCGCAGGCACACAGCACTGTGATTCAGCACCTGCAGAGGTGCTGACCACTGCCTGGAGTGCTGGAGGCTTCTAGAATCCGCAGACCTGTCAAACCGTGTGGTCACTCTGGGTTGCTGTGCCTCTCGCTCAGCTCCCGGCTCTGGGCTTCGCGCTCCGAAACCAATTTGTTGCGGCCCCATCAGCAGCCGCTGGTTTCTGGAGGCATGGGGGTCGCCCTGCCCTACGGCTCGGCTGTTGGAGGTTAACCGGTTATCTCCACCTCGGACGGTGGGCGTATCCAGGGCAATCGAATTGGTGGTCGCGCGGTGGGCCCAATGCTCGACAGGGATCGATCCCCGGGGCCTGCTATCGGCGAGAGGTGGCGGCGCAGCAAGGCGGTAGTTCGCTGGCTCGCAGGAGGTCAAAGAGTGGGCCAGAACGGTTACACGAATTCACTACATGCGTGCGCGCAAATCTGCATATGCGATGCCCGGTCGCGGTCCATCGCTGTCACATCAAAACAAGATAAGTCAAGTGCGCGTCCAGGCACATCGTCACCGTCCACCATTCACCTACGATCGACCTATTGTCCTCTAATTCCAAGCATCTAACACCCAACCCCCTGCCCCTAAATTGTATTTAGTAAATACTACGATTTCAAGAGGCCATATCTTCGCCGTTTCTGAACAGAATCTGGCGTTTAAAAGCGCGTTGGAACCAGGAAGCTCGAAATAACACCCCAAAAGTTACATTTCCACAATTACATAATTAGCACTCTAGGAAAGGCCAATAACTACCTAAACTCAAGTAACCATATCACATGGACGGGCATGTTGCCCCATGTTGCTCAAACACGCTCAGCACCAAAGGGAGTGGTTTTTGGGATTTAAACGGGATGGATTCCAAAGGATGAGGGCCAGTGGACCTTGGGGGCTCAACGGGTCAGTGAACAGGAGAGCGAAGGACGGACGGACTTGAATTGAAACCTAGCGGGTATGCCAGAAATAGGATGACTCATCCTATTTCTGGCATGACCCTTGGGATGCCTTGGGAAGGCAGGTATAAATGCAAAGACACCAAACCAATTTGCAATCAAAGTTGTGCTACAAGTTCCGACCAGACTTCAAATCAGGTCCCCGAATCGAACGGGGTTGAACGGGCCATTTCCCAACTGGCCAAAAGGGGACGTCACCCCTTACAGCTAATTACCCCATGCGAACAGCACCTTTAGATATGCCGTGATTCAATTACCTTGCCTCTGCAATAAAATTTTAGATTTGTTCGTTTTGAGCATTCTACATTCCAGTAGTTTGCTAGTCCTTAGAGCATCTTTATTGGTGGGTGTTATTGTCCCGGCGGAGCTATTCGGCCATCCGAATGGCACCGCACATCCAAAAATTGTCATTAACGGCTGGGGAGCAATAGCACCCCAATAGGGGGTCTCTCTTAAGAGCATCTTTATCGATCGGTGCTATTGCACTGGCGGAGCTATCCAGGAACGGTTCTCATTGGTTGCCGTGCCACTTTACTAAGACGCCATTTGCCGATTAGCACCGGTGCTATTGCTCCCCCGCACGCATCCACAATGGCGGGTGCTATGCCTATGCGAATAGCATCATGGCAACACTACAATATTCTGCGCGAATAGCACCAGAGCTATTTGGGGTGCTATTCGGGGCCAAAATAGTGCCGTTCGGTGCCGGAAGGCTCCGGGGGTGCTATTGGGGTGGTACTGCTCCCCAACTGTTATTAAGAGCATCTTTATTGGTCGACGCTATTGCACAGGCGGAGCTATCTAGGAACGGTTCTCATTGGCTGCCGTGCCACCTTACTAAAGAGGCATTTGCCGAATAGCGCTGGTGCTGCTGCTCCCCTGCGCGCATCCACAATGGTGGGTGCTATGCCTGCGCCGAATAGCATCACGGCAGCACTACAATGTTCAGCGCGAATAGCACCGGAGCTATTTTGGGGTGCTATTCGGCCCTGAGCAGTGTTATTTGGGGCCAAAATAGCGCCGCTCGGCGCCAAATAGCTCCGGGGGTGCTATTGGGGTGCTACTGCTCCCCAACCGTTAATGATGTTTTTTTTACGTGCGGTGCTATTTGGATAGCCGAATAGCTCCGCCGGGACAATAGCACCCACCGATACAGATGCTCTAATGATGGTATTTCGACGTGCGGTGCTATTCGGATAGCCGAACAGCTCCGCCGGAACTACAGCACCCACCGATAAAGATGCTCTAAGTGTCTTTTTCCCTTGTTTTGAACTGCTAAGTTGGGCACACACTTGACCCTTGCTTCAGTAACCAGTCCAGAGGTGCTTCCACCCCGCAGTCGTCCCAAGTCCACAGTTTGTGTGTGAAATACTGCGTGCTGCCTTCCCCCACCCGGCTGCCTCCGCTGGCGTACAGCCAGGTCCCTGCCGGTCGCGGAGCGCTTTACAGTCGCATAAGCCCCGCTATCAGAGCCTGCGGCCTTCGACCCGAATACGATCCCACCACCACCACAACCCTGCCAAGGTCTGGGACGTTCATGTCGGCATCCACCCTGTCGGCGCGGCCGGTGCCAGTGCCCGTCGCCGGCGCCTCCGCAATGGACGTCGACAGCGCGGCGGCAGATGAGGAAGCCGATGATCTGTACACGAAGCTGAAGACCCTGCAGAGAGAGCTGGAATTTTTGGAAATTCAGGTACTCAGTGAGGAAGACAGGCACTCGTGATCCGAGGACTGCCAGGGCGACTTGCTCGCCATCAGCACTGTGGTGGCGTTGATCGCGCTCGCATTCCTGTTTTCGTGGAAACGCGGGCTGCTGTTCCGAAGTGGATTCGAGAAATCGGCAGTCGCCATGTTCACATGGGAAGGCCCCCTTCAGTTTTGGCTGCCTTTTCCAGGAGGGCTACATCAAGGAGGAGCAGCGGAACCTGAAACGCGAGCTGTTGAGGGCACAAGAGGAAGTGAAGAGAATTCAATCCGTGCCTCTGGTGATTGGCCAATTCTTGGAGATGGTGGACGCACACTCGGGGATCGTGGGATCAACGACGGGGTCCAACTACTACGTCCGTGTGTTGAGCACCCTCAACCGTGAGCTCTTGAAGCCGTCAGCATCAGTGGCGCTGCACCGTCATTCCAACGCCCTTGTCGACCTTTTGCCCCCCGAAGCAGATTCGAGTATATCCATGTTGTCCGATGCTGAGAAGCCAGATGTCACGTATCAGGTGTGCCTGCATATGAGGGTGGCTTTGGAATTTTGCGTCGACAATCCCTTCCAAAACAGCTTGGATCAATCAACTCACCAGGCTCGGAACATCAATCACGCAACACTGCTTGACCACATGGGTGGCCAGCGGATACAATGAATGCATGTGGGACATAAAACCTTGTTGGATGTATACGCGCCTGTCATCGCCTCCAGGGTGCAAGGGCCTCACTTTGTCTTGCCAAAGGGAATTTTACAGGACTGCGGAATACAAGGGTGAGGCATGTTTTCACTTGACAATCGGTGGTGTCTTCTTGGGGCCCACTGAAAACGCGCGCACCAGCCAGAGGTTGGGGAGCCTGCAATCTTCCCATTTGTGCATCGCCACTCCTGTGTGCGTTGTTGAGTTATCTTGGAAGCTCTGGCATGTTCAGTTGTGCCCTCAGTGCTTGTCCACAGCCGGTCTGTTTAGATCTTGATCATGGATGTCCACTTGCCGTCACCCATTCCCTGCAGTTGCCACCTTGGAGGCTTCTGTTTTCAGCCACCTTATACAGAATGCAATGGAAAGTGGGAAGCCCTGAATTCCCACATCAAAACAGAAAGCAAGCTCTCGAATTTATTGACCTTTGCAAGTGTGATCTGTCACAGATAATAAGCAACAACCAAACAGTATTGATTCAGGAGGACGACCTCGAAATACTCGACAAGGAATGTTAGGGGCATTTGGTGGCCTTTTTGCATCAACAGACGTGAGCATCGCATGTTCTGTGTTGTGTTGGTGCTGCTCCACTTAAGGACATCGTTTTTTTATTTTGCCAGGATATTGGTGGCTTGGACATTCAGAAGCAAGAGATTCGGGAAGCTGTTGAGCTGCCGCTCACCCACCAGGACCTTTACCAGCAGATCGGCATCGACCCTCCTCGAGGGGTCCTCCTGTATGGCCCCCCTGGCACAGGAAAAACCATGCTTGCAAAAGCTGTTGCACACCACACCACTGCTGCATTTATCAGGGTGGTGGGGTCAGAGTTCGTTCAAAAGTACCTGGGCGAGGTGTGTGCTTTAACCTGCTGTTTCGTTTGCCGTGACACTGGCAGTGTGCGGTTTTTAAATGGGCCCGTACTCCGTAAAATGTTATGGGCTCCTTAAGACATGGAAGGAATATCTTCAACGGAAATACCCACATGCCATTAAGCAATATTTGGCATTGGGCTTTCTTGATGTGTTTTAGGGCAACTACATTACATCACTGCAAACAGCGCATAAGAAACACAAGGAGCCGCCAAAGAACTATCCTCTTAAAACTCAGATCCTCCCTTGGGGCAAGACATCACAGATTCCAATCAGTGTAACACAAAAGCATGCTGTCCATCGATCTCACATTTTGTGCACCTGAGGATGGGTGTGTGTGCACATTCAGTTCACGTGCTGTCACCAGCATGAATCTATGGAGACAGTGGGTGGCTGTTGATGTGTAGGGGCCCAGGATGGTACGTGACGTTTTCAGGTTGGCCAAAGAGCACTCGCCTGCGATCATATTCATCGACGAGGTGGATGCCATTGCCACAGCCCGTTTCGACGCACAGACTGGGGCTGATCGCGAGGTGCAGCGCATCTTGATGGAGCTGCTCAATCAAATGGATGGCTTTGATCAAAACACAAATGTCAAGGTCATAATGGCCACCAACCGGCACGACACACTAGATCCAGCGCTGTTGCGTCCTGGGCGGCTGGACAGGAAGATCGAGTTTCCAATGCCAGACAGACGGGAGAAGAGGTTGATTTTCCAGGTGTGACCCTGTGTGGAAGGCAAGCCGTTCTTGATGCAGATGCGCTACTGGTCAGCTTGAAAGCATCTTTTGTGGTTCCACTTCATCCTGGCAACCTTTCTGGGGAATTCGCAGGTCCACACTCTTGTACTCGTGCTTCGTGTACTCTTGTACCCTTGCCACCAAGAAAGGTAGTTTCCCATCCCCTTGACCCCCGTGGTGGTGCGGGCCAGTGCAGGTTGGTTTGCAGGTTTTGGTATTCAGTCCATGCCGTCACCCACTGGATTCGCCATCAGACATGAAGACCTCCGATAAAAATGGACCCATTTGCAGTTGCAACACCACACCCTGCTGGATGAACATCTGTGCTCTTAATAGAATTGCAAATTTACCAATACTACGTCGCTGTCCAACGTCTCAGGTCTGTACCAACAAGATGAATCTGAGTGATGAAGTGGACTTGGAGGACTACGTGTCCCGGCCAGACAAAATCAGTGCGGCCGACATTGCCTCCATCACCCAGGAGGCAGGGATGCATGCTGTCAGGAAAAACAGGTAAACGTAAGGAGCTGGTGGTTACCTCCTCGTCTTGGTATGTTAGATTTTTAGATGATGACAAAAACAGGGTGGTGGTGTGGGAGGACGGATGCACAACATGGCGTGGGCATAAAGGCTGTTGTCCTCCGCTACTTGGGGGCCTTTTGTTTGATGTGAGCCAGTTTTTCATTGCCAGTTGTCACGCGATCAGGTTCTCCCAAGGAAGTGGGTATCCTGTGAACACTTGCTGAAATGGGGAAACCTAGTGAGGTCTGTCTGAAATGGGGAAACCTAGTGAGGTCTGTCTGCTTGCTGTACGCTGCAGGTTACGGTATTGTGGATCGCCACCTTATGTTCTGTATTATGTAGTGATGTGGACGCTGATAGAAAACATTGAAGAGAGGTGAGGCGGGGGGGGGGGTGGGGGGTTTGGTTGAAGACATGCGTTTCCTCTCGACTTGCTGACGCACAGCCTGCTACTGTCCTCCAGGTATGTTATTCTGCCCAAGGACATCGACAAAGGGTACAAGGCGAACGTCAAAGGTTCAGATACGGAATTCGCTTTCTACCAATGACGTGCACAGTGGCTGTTTTGCTTGCAGTTTTGTTGGGCTTTTGCAGATGCACTGTAAAGCACAGGACAAAGGCAGCAATTTCGCTCATGAAGCGCGCACTCATCGATGGTTCAATCCAGGTGCATATCCTGATCCAAATAGATTCACATACATCAGTACAGCAAAGATGCAGCAGTTGGTGGCTTTCTGCGAAGTGGCCTGCTGCTGGCTTCAGCTGCCTCCACGACATGGAAAACCAGAGTACAGCAAAAAGGGGGTAGACAGCAATCGCGTCTATTTTGATGCCCATCCATGGATCCTGGCTATCCAGAGCTACCCATCCCATGGCTAGTAACTATCATGGGTCGCTCTTATTACGTTTCTCTTTACCACAGCTGTTGTTTGCTGCTCTACAACTGCCTTTGTCTCATGGCATCGGTCTAAGCTCCCCGCTCCCGCCCAGAAGCGCCTCACAGCACCCACTATTGCCGACGCCTGCCACAGCCCTCACGAGTGCCGCTTCACTGCCAGCTGCTAACGGAGCGCATAACTGACAGATTTGTCCGACTGCATGCAATATCTAATCCGCACACCAGCTATGTTATTAAACCAACATATGTTGAACAATGTACCTCAACCTGTGCATGCATTGGCTACAATCGTGCTCTTCACAGTGAGGTGCCGACATCATCAGAAGGTAAATTTTGGGATACCAAATACAAGACTGCGGTGCAGGCCACGTTCGATCGTTCAGATGGCTGTCTCACTCACTGTCCAGGAGTCGCATTGCAAAGCGCCTGGCTCCAAGCAGCCCAACATCCTGCTGCTTCACTACACAAACTCTGATGTCCTTCAGCAGGCTGTGAAAGCGGCTGCCTTTGTGCAGGAATGCCTCCTGCAGCACCCCCGTCTTCACTCGGTCCAGGAGTTTGGGGCATATCCCTCCTGCAATGTATACACCCCCTGGGCACAAACCCATCTGTTAACTCAATGTACAACTACGCGACAGGGTTATCATGAACAAAAAGAAACCCCAACAAGGAAGATCTAGAGAGGGACAATTGGGTAGTGTTATTTGCTTTCAGCTGCAATGCAACATGGACAGGCAGCATGAACTCCACATGAATGGCACTGATGACAAACAATCCTGCTGTCAATGCCTGGAATAAACACAATTTCGTACTGGAAGCTACCTTCCAGAACGAACTGGTACTGGAGCAGTGGCAGACTGCAGGCACAGCACAAGTGAAGCTTTTGTGTTGCGATCCAACCGTTCAGGTCCTCATTCCATATTCAGGTCTCAATGTACACAGGAATTGCATGCCATCCATCGAAGCTGCCAAGCTGACATCCTACACAGTGGCCATGTCCCAAAAGCACTGGTTTTCTACGTGACGATTCTGAGTAAACAAGTTAATGATCAAAAGTCCAGCCTGGTGCCCAAAAGGATACTGTTCAGTGACCGGTGGACAAAACAAACAAGTCTGCAACGTGCCAAACGAACATCCTAACCAATTGAAGCATCAACAAAAGGCAGCCTGCGACACTTGAGCACATAGTCGATGTATGCAGCCACACCAAACAGAAGCTGAACGAAACGCAAGTCCCAAAATTGTGCGCACCAACAGATTCTTTGTTCAATTCTGGTGGCAACAAGTGGAGGTCCAACACAGACCATGCAATTTCCTGCAGTGCCAAATACCCATATATGACCCCTGTATCAGTGTGTCGATCACTACGTTCCCATTCAGTCTCATAGAGTTTCTAGCAACTCTTGCTCCTGAAAAGAAAGCCATGAATGGCACCCATGAAACAAGATGCGCCTCCTGTGGAAGAAGCCAAGATCAGAGCATACAAATGGGCAAAAGCATTAGCACCACTGCATATTGTGCTGCTTCTTGCATGCACTGCAAAGATGGTATTGACTTGCTTTGGCACAAATGCAGAAAGCACAGAGCTACTAAGATTTTGGCTGCTGGCAGCTACCTTCTATTTAGAATTCGGATGCTCTGATGGAAAGTCAGAAGTGACAGGGTTCATCGATGGCGCACTGTACATCCCACTATGTGCCAACTGGCACTCCTACAGTGGGCAACATTGCCGTCGATGTCACATACGTTGGGCATGCACTCGTGTCCTGTTCTGCGCCAGCTCTCAGGTGTGCCGGAAAACCTACCTCTTGCCAGACTTCTCAGTGCCATGTGTCCAGCCTCCGCACCAACAACAGCAAGCATGATATCCACCGCTGCTACAGCATCCGAGTTACTACCATCCAGGGCTTCTCGAGAGATGTCTCTCGCCTTTACAACAGACAGCATCAATAAACAGGGTGGACTTAGCACACCAACACATCGGCGCCTGGTAACATGATGGTGATTAAAGGAAAGCATGATCTGTTTTTATGAACAGATGTTGGTACAAGACAAATGCGAACCGCATCGCCAAACGTGTGCAAGGGCACTTGCTTGCATCATCTTGACAAGTGCAACGCGTGTGGATTTGCAACAGGAAAGATACTACAGATGGCCACAGTCTGCAAGTTTCTCGCTGCACATCTTCCGGTGTTTGCATGCCCCTTCTCAAGCATGTGGGGTTTGACAAGATTTTCATGGCACTGGCAACACAGTTGCTCAAAGGGACAAGTACTTTGCAGGGCCCATTTCTTGCAAGAATCTTTGCATCGCCTCCCAACGAAGTGGCCTTGGCACACAAACACATGCCCAAGTATCGCATGAGGAAAATGCAACCTGTCCTGTGCAACTAGTTCAAAACACAAATAAAGATACCAGTCAATGAGAGGAAGCCCACCTTCTTTGGGAATTTGCCTAGCGCTGTGACGCCTTCTGGCCTCGTCAGGAATGCATAGATCCTCTCAATTCCACTGCCACATGCTACCTATGATCCAGCACAATATTGTCGTGATACATTCATGAAGCAAATTGTTGCAGAAACCACTCGCAACACCTGTTGATTAATTCACACAAGACCTGTTTGTCAATTTAGGTATAGGCCAGTTGTCAGCAAGGCATCAAGACAGGCTGCTGCTCAACATCCAGAACCCGAACTCCCTGTCTTTCCACAGTTCTCCTAACTGTGCTACCCAGTAAGCCTCAACTGCCAAGATGGCCAAGCTACTCCAGCACTCACTCCCTTCACTTGCCACAGGGCACATCAGCAAAATTACAGAATGCAAGATATGCATTTTGCTCAAAAAACCGAAGTGCAGCCGTGGTCCAGTAAAATGGAGGACAGCGCATCCCCTATGTACTCAACAAATCACCCATTGTTTGTTGTGATTGACTACTTCAGTCACTTTTCTGTCCATTAATGGCTGCCCCACATTGCCACTTCTTGCTATTGTGTGCATTAGCAACACTGCTGTGCAAGTCACAACCGGTTTAGGAGCAGATGAAGAAAATGAAGAGGATGCTGTGTTGTATGTGACTTATGGCTGCAGACCTGGTACCCACACAACTACAACTACCACACCTCCTGTCTCAGGGTTGACAGTATGTCCTGCAGTAAACAGATGGAACAGGGAAGGTTTTTAACATTCAACCACTCACATGTTCGATTTCACAATACCCCAGTCCTTCCACAACCCAGTTCATGAGTGCAACCTGCTCAGCTCCCCTTGGGGCAAAATCGGCATGTGAGCCTTCGGATGGCCACACCCTGTAGTCATTGAGGCCCTCATCCCACATCAGCTGGGTTTCTCCAAGACCAGTACCAGGCCCAATAACAACTTTAGGAGCCTGGGCAAACAGAATTCTTAGGTCTATTCTATCATTGAAAATGTGTCTTGGCAGTGCTGCATACTCTTCTCTCAATGTACACTCAAATTTCATCATGTGGAAGTCGCACGCACACATGAAAGCTTCACTCTGCATGCAAGCATATGCTTCCTCTGTCCGGAATTTATTGTCCTTCATGACTTTGGCGCCTTGCTTCTCCATCTTGGAGGCTTTGATTTTTAAAGAATGAAACTCCTTTGCAAGCTATGCCTATGAGTCTGGAGCATACACTCATAAAATCAAGTCAATCTGTTGAGAATCGAGGATTTGCAGTACTTTGTAGCAAGGATCTGTTATCTACTAAGCTTTGAATTATTGAGCCCAAGTTGGCTTAAATTTACCTTTCGTCCAATGCTCAATAGGGTCACTTCTCACTTTTTCTTCCTGAAAATTGGCAGTTGAGGGATTTGGGACCCACTCTGTCCGTTTTAGAGTTCTGGTGTGATTTTGAGGCCGTTCTTGTAGTGACGTTTGTCTCTCAGATAGAGGACAATTAATTCCTGACAGAAGCAGTATGTCTTTTCATACGCGATGTGCAACATGCAAATTGCAAGGACTGTCTTCTGTCTGTCAAGTCGGCTTGGCTGACAAACCAAAATAGACAACTATCACCATGAAACGTCAGGCTTCTGATAAGAGTACAATTTCACTTTTCTGACATGCACCCCAGATACTAACAAAATCGAAACATGGCCAGCTCGTGGCACCATCTGAGTGCTACTCTCACTGCACCGCTGTCTGTATTCTATCAGCAAGTCCAAAACGAGTGGGTTTGCTTCCTGCTATGACTCTTATTTCCTCAGATTGGATTGGAAGAAGGTAAACACAGTATACCCATTTCTACCCACCCCTGGAACAGGTGACCCCTTGTTGACAATATGCAAGTCAGCATCGTCGAGCTCCAGAACACCGTAGCCCTGGGCTTCAAAATCGTTGATGACTGCAACTCTGTGCAACAGAAACGTGCCCTATCAAAAACTTTCGCATTGGGGAAGAACTGTCGCCAGCGGAAAACTTCCAGGGGAAGGGGACTTGTACCAATTTACTCTCTGGAATTTAGAGCACGCCATGGCAACAAACATTTGTTCATTTGGTTCAGTTGTGCCAGAAGCACAACACACTTGAAGCAACTGTTTGCCATTTCATGCTCTGCTGCAAAATGCTGGTGTATAGCAGCTGTACTATATGCACCAGCCCCCAGAACCCACCTCCAACCGAATTTCTTCTCAATTTCCTGACGATCAATCGTCCACTTCAGATTCGTCATTTTCCCTCTTCCGTTCTGCACGGGCCCGGCAACAGCGAAGCATGCAGCGCTGGGAGAAGCGACTTGCACAGATTCCTCCGCCACCAAAGCGTCCAGCACATCGACAAATGAGGTGTAATCTTTTGTGGGAAACCACTGCAGGTCCACCCCAGTTTTGTCAGTTCATGTCCCCAAAATCCAGATTTCCACTGCAGATCTTCAACATTCGCAGACACAACAGTCCGTTGCCTTGGCTGGCGCAGCTGCACACTGCACCAGCTGATGCATGGATTGGCAGAACAATCTCCTCAAGGGCCAAGAAGCTGGGACAGCAAACACACAATCATCATCGACTCCCCACCTTCTCAAAAACGGTGGACACTTCCTGATCCGGCCCGACGTCCGCCAATGCCAGCCGGGCATTGGTGCCGCCGATGTCGCCAACCAGAACCCTTTGTGTGGAGACGCCTTGCTGCTCGTCGGCCTGAATCACAGATCGCGTCTGCAATGGTCCAAGTCTCGCGTCAGCCCCCAAATACCAATCCGATATCAAAAAGGCGTGCAGGCCCCGCAATGCACCCCAGATGACAAAGGTCGCTGTCGTAAGTCTGGAGCTGCCTGCGATGGGATGTTGCAATAGTCCTGCGATCACCGTGAGGGAGGCGAAGAGGCTGGCGCGGATAAATCAAGAGGGTGCCATCGCAGCATCAGAGGATGATCGGCAGCACAGAGACGAGGGCGAGAGTTCAAGAAAGCGGGTGGGAAAAGAGATTCCCCGTTCAACGCGGGGTTGCTCCCGTGCATGGGAGGCACTGGCCGGTCCCTCCAATGGGCCCGAGGACAGCACAGAACCCGGGGTCACCTGGGCTTCAGACCCAATCGATGCCGACGGGAGGCATGTTGGAGCTCTGATGATGGGACCAAAGCGTCGCCAGGATTTCACTGATAGCCTCCGTGTCCCCTGTGCCCCTTGGGTGACTGCACAGATGCCCTTAGGTCCCGTCAAAGAGGGGCCGCAAGTGCCAATCCTGGGCGTTTCGAAGTTCACCCCCGGCAATGCCTGGAACGCAACCATGGGTTCGTAAGATGGGCACCACCAAGGCAGTTGGCACGCCCGCCTTGGTGCCGAAACCACGACGCTCGTTCCGCAGCCCTTGCGCCTTTGTTGCGCTGTACAATGCCCAACGATCTTCCGCACACCTCACAATAAATGCAGGTCATGCACGCCTGTTTGTGTCATAATGGCGCCCGCACTGAGCGCGTCAACTGAGAACGCTGCTGTCGTGGGCTTGATGAGAAGATTTCATCAGATGCTCGGTCCCTGCAACTCAATGCCACCCAATTGTGTGGTGGCAGCAGAACGAAGTTTGTGGCCATTGAAAGCTCATGCTAGCGCTAATGATATAACTTAATCAAGATTGCAAGATTCCTGCATCAGTGCTTACAATGATAGCCCCATATAGCAAGTTTGCTTAAAGTGCTTGCAAATTTCCTTTAACGCACAACGAGGGAATATCATTCATAGCTAGAGAGAGGGAAAATAAATCGTAATTTGTCACTTCCACAGCAAATTCAATCATCGAAGCACATGCTTGAGCTCATTTTGGCACAAATGCTTTCATCTCTTTGCTACAACAACAATTTGGAGAACACGTCATTAACGCCCTATCAGATATGGGCGCACAGCAAAACGACTCTACGGCCCTCCCTATTATATGTACGTACCATAGATCATGGAGGATAGCGCCCCCGCCGCGTTCCACATCAGGGGTGATGTTAGGAATGCGGGGGGCGCTATCTTGCATGCCCCCACACTATCTCTGTACCCCCCGTGTTCCACATCAGGTCCTTGACTCAATAGCGCCCCACCGCGTTATCACACTAGCCTTCGTACCAGCAGCAAAGCGCAGCGGCGCCCCACCAACTTAGCATATAACATAAGGTGTTGCAACCCCGCCGCAGCGGCTGCCGCTGGTTTCCAGAGGCGCTGGTTTTGCCCTGCCTTGCAGCACGGCCGTTGGAGGTTGGCCGGTCTCTCCATCTCAGACAGTGGGCATAATCGGGGCAGCCGATTGTACGGTCGCGCAGTGGGCCCAATGCTCGACGGGGATCGATCCCTTGAGCCTGTTGTCGGCGAGAGGTGGCGGCGCAGTGCAATGGTGGTTCGCTGGCTCGCAGAGTTCCACAAATTCAATGCATGCGCATGCACATATCCGCATGCACGATACCCGATCGTGGATCTATTACCGTTGCATCAAGACAAGACAATACAAGTGCGCGTCCAAGCACCATGTCACCCACGACTGACCCTTCTCCCTCTAGGCTTAAGAACTAGCCCCTACCTTGGGTAAGCTATCCATCTACAACCCTGAGTACTACGACTTCGCAGGGCCATAATTTTATCAATTCTTAAAAAATTTGGGTATTTCAAAAGCCTAGGAGCATCAGGAGCTTCTAAATAAGCCTACCAAAGGTCGATTTTTAAAGATTACTAATTACCACTCCCAAAAACGCCAATTTAGCCTAACTCCGAGCAGCCACGTCACATAAGGTGCCATTCACGGCAACAACCAAAAACGGCAGAAAAAAAATATGAAAGGATGCCACAAGTCACTCGCTCCATTATGCTGCACCAACCCCATTGCCAGGTTAATTGGCAAAGCGACTGGCACACATTACATAACATTGCATAACATTGCATCAGGCGCCGGTCACAACGCCATCCAATAACAGCCGTTGGGACGTCGTACTGCACTATAGATAGCTTGGAGATCCCAATGACCTTGGTTTGACACTAGGGAAATACAGGCCAACTGACACAGTCCTGACACGGTCTGCTCAAAATCCAAATATGTACTTTCGGCAAATGTGGTCCCAAAAATACATAGTCAGTACACACATCGACACAATTTCAACCGTGTACCCTCAAGCAACTGTGCAGACTACACGGTTTCATAGGATGCATGGTTGAAACTGTGTGAATATGTGTACTAATTGTGTACTTTTGGGACCACATTTTCTGAAAGTACATAAATGGATTTTGAGCAGACTGTGCTAAGAGTGTATTATCTAGCCTATTTTTTATTAATGTGAGTAATGGTGGTATGGAACTAGACAATAAGATTGTTAAAGACATGGTGTTTGATTGAAGGATGGCTGTTGTGGCAATATTTAGTTGGAGTGAACTTGATAACATTGGGGTGCTAACACATGCAATGAGATGTAAGAATGTGTGACAATGCTTTTGCATTGTGGTCGTGCGTATAGTTGAAGTGAATAGTTCCCCCCCGCCCTATCTTACGTACCCCTCGTGCTCCGCAACACTTGCCATATTTGATAACGCTGGGGGCGCTATCTAAAGGCCAATGCACTATTCAACACCCCTTGCACTATCACCCGTGATCTATGGTACATTGTTTTGCTTCAAAAGGAAATATAGTTTCCGTTAGAAATGCCTTTCACGTAAATGAGGCACTTCATTTAGAAAAATGTGTGCAAGAAAATGATTACAATTGATTATGTAATAAAACCACTTGGTGATCTATCTGGCCCTCAAATATATGGAGCTATGTTCAACCAGAACCTCAACAACTAATTGCAAACGCATGGTCAAGTGTTTCATCGAAAATTGAATTTTTGTATTGTTAGCTCAACCGTGATCAGTACCCCAGCTCTTTTTACTGCACCAACTTTTGAATGCCCCCAAAATGCCTGTGCGGCATTGGTACAGAATGCAACCTGCATCATGTGGTTGTGCATGCAATGGTGGCATGTTGTTTCGTTTAGGAATTGATCATACCCAGACGCACCTATTGAGTGCATTGCTTAAACTTAAATGGCAATTGTAAGGTCTGTTGCTTCACTGCAGAAAATTCATAATTCTACTCTGCATCACGCATGGCACGCCTCCTACAAGATATTCTTACGGAAAATTTGTGCCCTGAGGGGGGATGTCGTATTTGATTTTGGGTATGATTTGGTATGAACTCCACAAGTGTGTAAAATTGAATGCGATGTCCAGAGGATGAGGCATCCGAAGTATCCCTGATCGCCCAAGAAAGTGGTTGCCCTATGTACCGCGCCAAACGATCATCTTCTTCAAGAAGTGATCTTCTCAGTGCTAAAACACTGAACTGCATTCTACTGAAACTCATGAGCGATCATTGGATCCCGCATTATGTTAGTTTGAAGCCGACCCAGTGGTCAGTACTGACATTGCTATAACGTCATCCATTGCTGGCGTCTCAAGGGCGGGCCTGCCAAAGCTGCGGTCAACGCCTTCCTCGGACTCACGCAAACTCCTTCAAACAGAGACCGGAACATCGGTGGAGTTGTGCAGCCTGGCGGTTGAGCCCAAACCGACTGCCACACGGAGATGTTCGCACGCACGCAATTTTGCGCAGGGCCCAACGCTTTTCAACGAGCACCGCGGGTGCCAGGTGCGGCAATTGATAGCAACAATCGGCAAATATGCTGGAAGCGGGTGGTGGTGGGAGGGTATGCCGCGGCTGTATGTCTCGTGATGATTTGACCCAGCGGTCCTGCCTTGACCGTTGCTGCAGTTCGGCTTTCGAACCTGTGCACATGCGTGGGCGTTCGCTGGTCAACAACGGCCAGAACCTCGTGAGTGGAGATTCTGAGAGAAAAGCCCTGGTGGCGCTGGTGCTGTCATCATATTTCGGTGTCTTGTGGTTCTGTGTGTTTGTGTTTTGCTGACCCGGGGGCCAGTCATCGAGCCCAGTAGAATGGGACAATTCACAGGATAGCGTTACTGCTGTATGGAGGCACAACAAGTATTATTTACTGAACGAGAAGTGCGTCGTGGGGAGGTGTTTCCTACTCTTCCAAGGGGAAATTGTGCAAAACGGACAATCAACTGCACGCTTGCGCCACTAAGTGGAGCCAGTGGGGTTCATTTGCTCTTTCTCAACAAATTTGACCAATCTGCTGGGATTCGCTTCTGATTCGTCACCTGTCTTTCCGCCTGTGTTTCCCCAGCGTTCTCCAGCCCCCAGCATTGATCGCCAATAAGCACTGCAATAGTTGGGGCACTGGTTGCAGTTCACCCAAATCATCGTCTTGGCGATGACCGTGGTTATTCGCTTTCACTGCCTTTAGTGTGTCCTACAGGTGTTCGCTGTTGTTTCCAGATGCGACATACTTTGATCCGAATTCAGGACCAAGATGGACTCTGAATGCAGACGAAAGGCGCCCCCACGGGGCACCTACACACCTATGTCCTACTCCGATTTTGCGTACAGGAGAACTGTGATGAGCCTGAATAGGGAGGTATTCGCACAAGAGTTGCGGCGACAACCGAGCATCACCTCGTCCAGCATAAACGCTGCAATGGAGAGGGTTCTGAATGCCTACAGGAATGGCACTCCCAGACGCCCGGACAATACTATATCCAGTCCGCTAAGTTGCTGGTGCCCATCAACCACGTCAGCATTCTGCCCCTGCGCTTGATCCCCCCCCCGATCAGTCCTGCCAGAAACTCGT